AACAGGGTCTCCCTAGTCCCGGCCAGCCTGGAAGTCACTATGTAGACCAGGCTCGCCTTGATTTCATAGAGATACACCTGCCTCTGCTTCCCAAGCGCTGGGATTAAAGCCCTGTGCCACCACACCTGACCTAATATTTTTTTGAAAGGCATACAAGATATCCTTGGCAAAGGATCTGTGGTAACTAGAGCTTAAGTAAGTGAATGTCAAAGTGCAGAGGGGTAGGGTGTCTTCATAGTCCTGTGAGCAGGGCTCAGCCTTTCGGTGGCCTGTATCCATAAACTGTGAACATCTGTAGTACTTCAAATTCCCCATCACTCCCTTTGGTAGGACACCATGCTTGGAGAGGACAGGAGTTGTGTGCTTCCCTCTCCTCCATGGGAAATTTAGGGAGCTGGAGTTAGGTATTTCTTTTCTCACATCTAGGTTAGGCTCTGATAAAATTCCAGCAGTGAGGCTCTGGTGAAAGTTTCTCCTCAGGACAGGCCTTGTTAGGAAGCACAGAATTGCTCTGGTATTTTTAGTGTTTTCTTTCCCTTCCTCCTGCCAGACTCATGAAGGAATCTTTCTCTGGTTCTCACCATAAGAACTTTGTAGAGCTCCTGCAAGAACACTCAGAGCTGTGTGGGGATTCTCATGTGACTGAGCAGGAGGGTTCTTGACTCTCAGAGTTGATACTGAGCTTCTAGTAACTCATCACTTATGCTTCAGGTTAGTTGATCTAAGCAAAAGCATAACTCTTTTCTCTTCTTAACTTAAAATAATAGCCTAATTGAATACAAATTCACAAACCTTTTAAAATGAGCATTTCCATGTATTTTCCTGTGGTTAAAAATGTGCAAGCATCAGCACCATGAACTTTACAATGTTTTCATCACCCTTAAAACTGCAACTTTTTAGCTCTAATTCCCCATATCCTTCTCTCTTCCCTAAGGAACTACTAATCTACTTTTGACTATGTTGTAGATTTACTATTCTGGACATTTCATATAAATAGAATCTCACATTGTTCTTAGAAAGTCTCTTATGACTAGTTTCTTTTACTTAGCAGAACTTTTGCATGGCTCAGCCATGCTACAGCATAAATCACTACATCATTCCTTGCTATGGCTGAATTGTATCCTATTATTTGGATATGCCATATTTTATTTATCCATCCATCCATTGATGGATACTTCGCTACTATAAAGAATGCTGCTATGGATATTCACCTAAGAGTAGCATGGCAATTTACTCCTAACTTTTTTTATATTCATCACTAAGAGGTAAGGATATTTTCCCATATAGACACAACACCATACAAAAGAACACCCATCTAATAATCTAATCAGGATATAAGTTCCCCCAAATGTCATTTATAGCATGTAGAAATCAAAATCCAGTCAATATAGTGCATAAACATTTTGCATTTGGTTGCTTGTCTTTTGAATGTCTTTTGAATGTAAACGAATATCACAATTAACTCCTCTTTTTAACATTAAAATTATTTATTGATTGATTTTGTGCTGGAACTTGAACTTAGGGCCTCGTATATACTAAACATGTGTTCTACCACTGAGCTACACCCAAACCTCTGACATTGACTTTTTTGTTTATTTTATTTTATTTTATTATTTGTCTTTTTGAGGCCCGATCTCCTTGTAGCCCCAGCTGACCAGGCTGGCCTTGAGCTCACAGGGATCTGCCTGCCTCTGCCTCCCAAGTGCTGGGATTAAAGGCATGCACCATCACGACATTGACTTTTTGAAAATCCATAATTCTCTTTTAAGTCATTTTCTGGCAGTCACAGGAAAAAGAAATAGAGAAATAAAAACAAACCAACAGCTGGGCATGGTGGTACATGCCTTTAATCCCAGTACTTGAGAGGCAGAGGCAGGTGGATGTGAGATGGAGGTCAGCCTGGTCTACATAAGTGAGTTCCAGGCCAGCTGTGGCTACAAGGAGACCCTGTCTAAAACAAACAAACAAAAACAAACCAAGAAACAAAAACCCTAGCAGACTGGGCTGCTGGGTTTATAATAGCTATTGTACCCATAGCCATTAGTTATTTTTGTAAGTGTGTTTGAATCTCTGTACACAAAGTAAATGCAATTATATTTTCCTACAGAGAAATTAACTTCTACTTTGAATCCTAGTATGTTTCTACTAAATATAGATACTTAATCACAATCAGACTGGGTTGTAAGTCTATCTTTTCCTAGGATGGTGTACACATTCTCAGGGGTTTACAGAACGTGGAAGTGTGCCAGTTGTGGTGGCACACACTGGTAGGATAAGCTGAAGAGGTAGCGGAAAGAGGATCATAAGTTTGAGGACAGTGGGAATGTGGATATGTGGTCAGATAGGTCACGGACTCCTCAGATTGTCATTTCTCCATGGTGACCACTGACCAATTTGGTGACCACATCCAAATTGCCCTCTTCCCACTCAACCCATGCAAATCAATGTTCTTTCCTCTTAGCCTAAAACAAGGCCTCCTTAGGTCCTCTGGCTCCCAGGACTGTGCCTGTAATACTCTTGATTGTACAAAAGATTATACTGACTCTAGCTTTTGGCTGTGAGTTAAAAATCTCTAGAACTGTTTTTCAGTCTGTCAAGACCTGCACCGCCTGATTATAGCCTCTTGCTAAATATGGCTACTAAATACCTTAATTAAAATATGATTAGCCCAAATTGAGATATTCCAGGACTATAAAATACATTCCAGATTTTGAAAACTTGATTCAAAGACTGCAAAATATAAGCAGACATGGTGATACCTGTCTGGGCTGTCTATCAAAACATCTAAAAAAATAAAATAATAAATAATAAAATAAGATAAAGTATGCCATATGTAATTTTTATGTTGATTATGTGCTGAAATGACATTTTGGATATATTAGTTATATCAAATGTATTATTAAGACTGGAGAGATGCTCAGTTAGTAAAATACTTGGTTGGAAAGCATGCAGATCTGAGTTCGGATTACCAGGACCCATATGAAAAGTTGGGTGAGGTGGCATATACCTGTAATCCCAGCTGTGATGTGATGGGAGGTAGAGACAGACAGATCCCTGAAGCTTGAAAGTCAGCTTACCTGTTCTATGTGAAGTTCCATGTCTCAAACAAAAGGTGAAAGGTACCTGAGGAGCAACGTCTGCAGTTGCCCTCTGACCTCCACATGTGTGCAGTGCCTGTGTGCACCCATATCCATACATGCACACATAAAATAAAAATGAATTATTAAAATTCATTTCATTCCCTTTACTTTCTTTAATGTGCCCACTAGAAAATTATATGCATGATTCAAAGTATATTTCTTTTTTAAAAAAATATTTTATTTATTACTTTTATTTTATGTGTATGA